AGGAAGAATAAACAAGTTTTATAAAGAAAGGACTTGTATCTTAGAAGAATTAACAAACAAACATACAGAGACATAACATATTATACTTGATGTAATATTTTTTTGGGGGGGTAATGAAAGTGATCCAAAATGCGACATTAATTTCTTGATGACCTAATATCAATCTTCAATCAGAAGTAATAATTACGTAATTTGGAATCAAGTGTTCATCAACAAAAATATAAACTACAGAATGTTCAGCATATCAAACAAAATATTGTAAAACAGCTATTTCATGCCTCCAAAATAGATAAAAATTGTGGATAGGTGTTCCTTTTGATATTACAGAGAAATGTCACTCAGAACCTTCAAAGGTTATGCCTAATAATTCAATTTATGAAATAATTTTCCATTACAATAATTTAGCCAAGAACAAGTACAATGGAAGAACTACCTTTACACTTGATGGCTAGCAGGACAGATGCATCAGTGACCTTGTGAATCAGTCTAAGGTGAGCAAGAAATGATTTGCGATAGTAAAAAGGCTCCTTGCACTCGGGACAATTTTCTCTCGTAGAAAATGGTGCTGGTAGTTCCTTCAATGTTTTCCTTTTGGACATTTTGTTACCTTGTTTTTTGGCTCTACTAACTAAAACACAAAAACTCTTAACAATCATGTCTGGATTAAGATGCATCTACAGTACAAAGTATTTCTTAGAATTTCATTGTCAAGTGTCTTTTGCACAAAGCTTATAGGTTAGAAAATATTTCATGTTTTGCTCTAAGCCATTACCTTGAATGATACAAGTATTTTCTAAAAACAAAACTCTATGAAATTTATTCATATTATTGAAAAAATATCTTCAGTTGAAATTTATGGTTCATCTATTAGTATAAGAAACAAGTTTAACTGAAGTTCAGTATGTACAGAGAACACATTTCAAAAAGACTTCTCCAAGGTCTATTAATGTTTTCGTTGCATCTGTTAATATTTTCATACTTGTTTCAAGAAATCCAAAATGTTACATTTTTCTTTCAAATGTGAGGCCTGGCTTTATTGTTACCCTTCAGACAATTTTCTTTTGAAACCTAAAATCAGTTGGCTTGTTATAGCTTTTAAGAATGTGGATACATTAACTCTTAATTTCTCTTTCTTAGTTTCTCTTTTTTTATTTATTAAGGTGTCCATATTGTGTTAAGTTATTGTTTACCATTTTTTAGCTAATAGCAACTGGAAGTTCAATGTTCTGAACATCTGTATCAATAGCTGTTTTGTTTCTCTCCTTTTGATGTTTTCTTATCAAGTATTTTTGTATTGTTCAAGTTCCTCTTATAGCCAATCACCAAATAATCAGCAACTACTGAAGCATCTGCATCACAATTCTTGATATCTCTTTGGTGTTTCTTTGTAATGGTCATTAGTCTCTCTCCAGTGTATTGTTTATTATGTCTATGATGTGCAGTATGCACAATGTTTTTCATTAAAGAGTTGGGAACTTGGAACTTCACTCCTATATACTTATAACTATAATGTAAGGTAGGAGAACTTTTGAAAACTACAATGATGTTGAATTTATGTAATACTATTCAATTATATATACTAACAATTACATAGACAAAAAAACAAATTCCCTCTATATGCAAGTCTTGAGTATTTGTGATAGATACTTACCTTTCTGCCCACAGCAGCTATTTCTTGCATGCCTGCCATTGAGCTTTTGTGCATGCCACTAACCTTGAACTATCTCCCACCTAAATCATGTGTTATAACAACATGAGCTGCTCTAGTTCATGATGTACATTATGCAGCAATATTCCTCCACTGGTAGGAGGGCAACACATCCATGTGCAGTAGATCCCCATAAGTAAGCACTTGCACTCAGAATTAACTTCATTCATATACAAGGTAAAAATAATATGTACTAATAGTGAGGAGGAAGGGTGTGAAAGTGTGCAGAGAGATAAGTAGTATCTCTCTATTAGAAATACATTTTGAGGTAAGGAAAATGTTAGTTTCTGAAATGATCCAAATATCTCTCTGGACACAGTAACTAGAATCCCACAACGATGTGGTAGAGGGGCTGGTGCAAAAGAGAAAACCTAGATGAGCTCTCTTCAGAGAAGGTATCAGATGGGGAAAGCCCATGGAGTGTGGCACCCAATAGTGGTGGCTTACTAGAGGTGTAACACTCATGGGAGACCACATCCTTCTCAGGAAGGTGCACTCTTTGCACAGATGGAAGTATGAATGGAGGAAGGCAAAAATGAGCCAATGTGTTGCTGGGATGGGCAGAAAATATACATGATGAACCAAACTTTTGCACACACAACAGGTCAAACAGACATGAGGTGTAGTGTGGCGATGACAATAATCCAGCCATATGGTTTGGTATGTGTTCTATTGTACAATTTACTCACCACATATACAAGAAAGGGGACTAAGGTCCCTTCCTGCCTCCTGAGGAGAACACTTTACACCATCCACTGGTCAAAACCACCAGGATATAGGTATACAGTATAATAGGATGTCCCTGACCTAAATTTCACCATGTTGTACTCTCCAGAGATATCATGCAACTGATGAGGAATTATCCAAGACTATGAGCTAGGAATACCAAGGGTTTCTCACACTCCACTCAAAGACCAGGGAGAGGGTCATGTTGGGGAGACTCCAAAGAGGTGCCATTCCCAGACTTGTTTGAACCTAACCACTACAAAGGTCTTGTACTGAAGAAATGCAATGGGTTACCACGAAACTTATTTTGAAAAGCCGGCATGTGCAGTCAGGAAAGTGGGCGGGCGCTCCTCTGGTGCTGGCTTTTTCCATGATAGTTCATGGAAGGTACAGTCTGAAGTGAACATAGAGAGAAATATATACCAATGTAGCAGTCTTGTGGAAAACCCTATCTCAACGATGGGCACTTAAGAACCAGAAGGGTGGGCTTAACACTTTTCATTGCTCCTGACTAGATGCAGGTTTATGGAAGTAAGTATACTCTGTAAAGGATCACTGGCCACTGGTTGGGTTCCGAGATGGATATGAGAGACTATTATTAAAAGTGGGTAAAGAAATAAATGAAGTATTTACCCCTTTAAAATTGGTGAGTACAATGAAGAATGGTAATTGGAGGGAGAGGTCTAGATGGAAATGAAACCACCAAATGGTGAAGAAGGTGTTGGGCATTGTTTACCTCCATCTGTATAACTTTATTCAATGGTCACTGAAAGAGTGGGTCAAACTGAGTCAAGGGACAAATCTGATGAGCAATGACATGATAGAGTCTGTGAGTGTCATTGTAAAGAGAACAAACAACCTGGATGTATTGCTGAAACCAACTGGTTAGAGTAGTGAACTAAAGATCATTAGATGAATAGGGGTCATACAGCAAGAATAAAATCCTGCTGGTATCACAAAAGGAAGCAGTGCATGTCAAGCAACACTCGATCACCCACAAAAGAAGACTAGAATCAGAATGATTGTTGTGAGCAGAAAATGGTAGAAAAGAGATGGGAGAAAAGGACTTATCACCCTCCAAAGCCACCCATGTGGATGAAAGGAAGGAGCAGTCATGGAACAAAAGGGAGTAAGGTTTGTGGAACAAAGTACAGTAAGTATATAAAGCAGAAATATGGAAATTGTGATAATCTCAGGCCAAAAGAAAGAAAAAGGCCTTCAGGAAAAGGTGAGTGAAGAAACAAGTTCCCAAGGGTTCAAAGGGGTCTGGTTGAGTGTGTAAAGAACCACAAGACACAAGAAGGTTCCAATCAGGCAAATGAGCCAGATGAGCAAAAAGGAAGAAGGGTTGAAAAACAACATGAAAGGTAACATCAACACAACTTGTAGTGTACCATTATTCAGAAAGGAATAAAAGTGAGAAATGGAATTATAAGTCTTATGAAAGTCTTAAGAAATAGTTAAGACAGTAATTACAATAATACAGATTACTAAGTCAAATCAATTACAAAGTTTGCTCAAAATCTTTAAAAACTGAAGAGCAAAATGAAACACGTCTGTTAAAAGCAGTGCTGTGTTTAAGAAAAAAGTTAATTTTGAGTGCAAGTGCTTATGGGGATCTACTATGATTGGAGGATGTCTTGTCCTCCAACTGGTGAAGAGCTACTGCCAAATGATGATTACATCATGTATTAGTTCAGTTCACATCAAAACACCTGGTTTAGGTGGAAAATAGTTCAAGGCTAGTGGCGTGTGTAAAATCTCAATGGTAGGCACATAGGAAGTAGTTACCATGTGCAGAGAAGTAAGCTGACCGATTGTTTTGGAATTGAAAAATTGTTACACAAATTCAACATCATAGAAGTTTTCAAACATTTTCCTACATTACATGATACATTTATCAGAGTGATATATTTTTTTTCTCAAAAAATGTTGTGCACAGCACACATTACAAGTGAAATAAACATACAAAACTTGGAGAACATAAAAAAAACATCTAGACTTGTGCTAAAGACAAAATAAACATCAGAAATAGCTAATCTTGTTTGAGAAAATAATCAAAAATAATGTGGACAAACTACCTTTACACTTACTGGCTAACAGAATGATACAAAAAATACTTGATAAAGAAGAAAACCCAAAAAAGGAGGAAAATAGAGGAAGCTATTGTCATCCAAGCTCAAAGTAATGGACTTTCAATTGGTATTAATCAAAACAATGACCACATAACATTACATGGACACCTTTAATCAGAGAAATTGTCTTATGTGTCATAGCATCGATATGAATTTATAATTATATCATTGTTATTTACACTGTTTTGCCAGTTTTGTTTTTTCATCATCATTTTACAAAAGTTTAATTTTACTACATGATTATTATGACTATACACACATTTTACTTTTTAACCTGTTAACTCTGAAGTGTTTATTTGATTTTGAGGCTTATATTTTGACCAATTGAAATATTATTATCTGTATGATTTAGAGAAAGAAAGAAGTTGGGATTTGATAACCTTAAATAAACAAGTTAATTTTTTGCTTTAATAAAATTGAATAATTGTATTTTTGTTAGCATTTTTAACATCATATGGCAGATATTCCTTATACTGTTGCTTTTTAATATTTTAAAAATGTGTTACACAAATGCCAACAAAAGCTAAAATAAATAGGCCAAATGCTTGCAATAAAACTTGACATACTGCACGTCATTGTAATACATTTAATTAATTCCTACATTATGAGTTTTAACTCTGGCTCCATATGTTCCAGACAAATCTTTAATAAAAATACTTTTCAATATAATTGACTAAAACATTTAATGTAGAAACATATTGAAATTGGGGTTAATTAAATAAATCCAGAAGTTTGTCTTTATTCTTTCCCTTACAAAAATAACAATTATTAAAAACAAAATAGGCATATCAAAATTATAAATATTTAAGAAATAATAATAATAATTTTTGATTTTTTTTTACCATAAAAATGTAGGCCACTGATTTGTGAGTTGTGTGGAATGGTTGTAATATACATATTTCAGCCAACTTACAGAACACATGAAACTAGTTGTCACATGTCGTATTACATGCATAATAAGACCAGGCAAACTCAAAAAACAAAAGAAAGAAAAACTATTATGATGGCAAAATTACAAATTAAAAATAATCCTGAAATTGTTATTTAACTATTTCATCA